CTATGACAACCACGCATCAGGAGCATGCAATTCCCTGGCAAACTCTTGACCCTGGGTAGGAGGTCTGTAGTAGACTCCCACCATTGTGTCTCCTGTGCTGTGTTCCACATAGATTTTAACCCACAGGGTTTCCAGTCGTCCACCCTGGGTGCCAGTGTCGACTTGGAGGGGTGTGTAACTTTCCTTGACATAGACAGCTACACCCCCACCCTTTTTGTCCACTCGATCTCTCCTGTACAGGGTATAGCTACAGTTGAGCCTGTGTTGCCTGCAGGAGCTGGCAACTTAGCAGGCTCTGCTGGGGCTGCAAGAGGTTCATATGTGTTGCAAAGCTCCAGCAGAGCAGGGACCTTGATGCGGTGGGCCTTGGGACCCTTGACCACCTTGGTCCAGTCCCCTGGCTGGACAGAATGGGAGGTCCCCGCCTCCTCCCTTGTACTGGAAGGTGACCATGGTCTGCCCTCCGCCTCCAGGGGGAAAAGGGTCTGGCAGTAGGAGTCTATCTCCCACTCACCATCTCTGATGGCATGCAGTCTCTGGACTCTGGCCTGGAGCTCCTCCAGATGGCACGCCAGAGACCCCAAAAGGGAGCAGACCTCACAACGGGAGGTGGCCATGCTTCCAGACCCCAGAGCCTGAAAAAGTTTCAGGCAGCCCCCACAGCTGAGAGCCAGGGGCTCTGTCTGCATGGAGCCCGGAACCATGGGCTCTGTCTTGGTGTAGGCCTCTGAGGTGCCAGAGGGGGAGGCCGCAGACTCCAAGGGGACTCTCAGAGTGCGGCGAGTGCCTATTCGCATGATGCCGCTGGTAGGCTGGCTATGGCTGGGACTGCCTTCCCTAGGGGGATCACTGGCAGGTCCGTGGGCCCTCCCGCTCACCCTCCTGCGCAAACTCCCACACTAACTCCCACACCAGGCCCAGAAGTGCACCTGTTTGTGTGGCCTGTTCACGAGGCTCCCTGGGGGGCTGGGCCAAGTAGGAGTTGGGGAGGGGGTGACCCTCCTCGGCTCCATTCAGCCACGTCCCAGCTGTCTACATCCCTCCCACAACAGGCCCCTGCTCACCTGCGGGCAGGCTAGGACTCATGGGGGCCCTGGGGTCTCTCCTGGGGATCCCTGGGCTCATGGGGGCACAGTGGGCTTTCACCCGCACATCTCACACCAGAGCCGGGACCCAAGTGCAGCTTCTACCATTGCCGGGCCCTTTTAAAACTGTGTGCATGCACAGAAGGGCTGGCCAGTGCCATGCTGCTCTCAGGGGGCTAAGGGGGTCCCTCCCCCCACCAAAGGAGGGGACAGGTAAGTGCCACCCCTCAACCCCAACCTGCTTCACGCACTGGCAGCCCAGTCATGTGGCTCTCTAGAGGGCTGGGTTAAGTAGGAGCTGGGGCAGGGGGCGTGACCCTCCTCGGCTCCATTCAGCCACCTCCCAACTGGCTATGTCCCTCCCACCACGGGCCCCTACCTACCTGCGGGCAGGCTGAGGCTCATCGAGGGTACTGGGGTCTCTCCTGGGGGTACCTGGGCTCACAGGGACGTAGCGGGCCTTCGCCCACGCATCTTGCACCGGAGCCAGGACCCGAGAATTTAGCAAATTTAGCCAGTCCACTTCTGATACCTGAATCCAGATTGTTTATAAATAACTTGAAGAGTACTGGTCCAAATATGGGGCCCTGAGGGACACCACTGGTCACCATGTTGACACAGTTCCATCAGCTGTCACTGAGTCCAGCCACTGAGCCAGTTCCCGAGCCATCGGACCGTGAGGTTGTCGAGGGTGCAGTTCCCCACTTTAACCGTGAGGACTTCATGGGAGACCAAGTCAAAGGCTTTTTTGAAGTCCAAATAGATGATATCAAACTCTTCTCCTTTGTCCAGGTGATGGGTCACCTGGTCATAGAAGGAAATGAGGTTGGTCAGGCAGAACCTACCCGCAACAAAGCCATGGTGGCTATCTTTCAGAATGTTATGGTTTCTTTGATGATTTTTTCCAATATCTTTCCAGGGATTGAGGTCAAACTGACTGGCCTGTAGTTCTCCATATCTTCCTTCCTCCCTCTCTTGAAGATAAGCACCACGTTCGCCCTCTTCCAATCTTCAGGAACCTCCTCCAAGTGCCACAGGTTCTCAAATAGCCTCGCCATTGGCAGAGCTATGATGTCAGCTATTTCTTTTAGCACTCATGGGTGCATTCCATCTGGGCCAGCTGATTTGTGGATGTCCAGCCTCTCAAGGTGTCCCCTCACGAGATCTTTGCCAATGATGGACGTGTGTTCTCCCATACCCTGGCAATCCTGCTTCTTGTTTGGTAGGGTGATCCCCTTGGGCTGGTGGAAGACTGACATAAAGTAATCATTAAGGAAATTAGTTTTTTCCTAGGCTTCAGTTGTCAGCTGCCCCATTTGGTTTAGCAAGGGTCCAGTGTTGCCCTTGTTTTTCTTCTGATTACCTACATATCTGAAGAAGGACTTTTTGTTTTCCTTGATTCCCGTAGCCAATTTGAGTTCGTTTTTGGCTTTGGCTTTCCTAGTTTTCTCCCCACATGTGCAGGCCAGTGTTGAATAATCCTCCTTGGTGATGTTACCTGACTTCCAACCCTTGTCTTCTCTTTTCACATACGGGAGGTCCATAAGTCCCCTATTTAGCCATGAGTGTCGCCCAGCCCTTTTGCTACCTTTCCTATGGGCTGGGATGGACTTCCCTTGTGCTTCAAGGATCACATCCTTAAGGAGTGACCACTCCTCATGGACTGCCCTCTCTGTTAGATCCTGGTTTCTCAGGCCCTTGGCAACCAGCCTCCTGAGCTTATGCAAGTTGACTTTCATAAAATCATGGATTTATGCATTGCTGACTGATTTGCCAGCTTTGCGATGGATAGAAAAAGTGATCAACTCATGATCACTGTCTCCCAGCTTCCCTTTGATTCTCAGGTTGCTCACTAGATCATCCCTGTTGGCCAGTACCAGATCCAGTAGCATTTCCTCTTGGAGCATTTTATACACCTTGGTTCATACTCATTAACATTCGTTCCACCTCTGTCCCTCCTTCTGTTCCACCCATTTTTCCTCCCATTTCAAACTCCGTCTCTATTTACTGTTTACTTCTTTAGCATGGAATTGGCTATGCATTTCATTCATTTACATGCCTCTCTGCTAAGAGTGCACACGGAAGACTTTGACCTCCACTTCTTTCGGTCACTTGCTGGTTCTTGCTGGTTCTTTGCTGATTTCAGCACCATCTCCAAGGTCTTGCTTCTGCTTTATCTCCTGACAATAGCTGGGGGGTGCATCTTGTTCTCCTTACACAAGGAATTATACATCTTGCACACTATCCCATTGTTAGGAAACAGCTTACTTAAACATTTGCAAAGTTACTTTAATACATCATTTTGCCTTGTGACCAGCAGCTTTTGCTGAGACACAGATACAAGTCTTTATTCAGCTGCAAATCCAGTACTCCCCCAAAATCTGAATATGGTTACCCTAACAGACACACTACAAGCTTCCTGCCTCCAGAGGAAAGCTCTATCAGCCTCTGGATGATACTTGTGAGTAAGCTGCTTGAAATCTAACTAGATATATAGCCTGCAGTAACTCAGATGCATGATCAAAGGCTACCATGCCACTGTTTGCTCTAAGGGTTATTCTTTGATCTTGCTTTACCCTACTCCAAACCTACTCCTTGTAACCAGTAAAGTTCTCCTCTGTCCCTAGCATGGGAGGCTTATTGGGAGAGGGTCTAGATTATGCCTTCAGGTCCCCTTGGTCCAGCTGACTAAGGGAGACCACTATTTTTGCTTCAGACTAAGGGAAGCACCCCAAGTTCTTGCAGTGGGTCAAGTACCCTTCAGATCTATACAGCCTGTTTACCTCATGAGACACAGAGCCACTAACAGACTGAGACTCATGAGTGGTGGCAGCATTACGCCCAGGCTTGCGGGTGCGCTCCAGGAAGGTGGTCAGCCAGATGTGAGGTGCCCTCAGGGAGGCACTCAGAGCTTGGTGGGTGGCTCAGTGCAGGAGCACCCCCTACTGGCCCACCACAGTGCCAAACTCCACTTGTAGGGAAGTGTACTGCTCCTTCACATAGAGAGCTACACCCCTGCCCTTTCTATCAATACCTGTGGTCCAGTCATAGGTGGAATCCCACCAGGTTTCCGTTATTCCTATGAGATTGTATTAATTTTTATTTAGCAGGAGGGCCAGTTCCTCCTGTTTGTTTCCCAGGCTCCTGGCATTTGTGTACAGGCAAGTAAGCCTGCCATTGGAGGTCGTAGGCTTCCCAGCAGTCCTAGAAGAGTCTCATCCCTGGGCTGGGTAGGAGTGAATTCTGTTGGGAATTTATTTGTGTCCCTTGTGCTGCATGACTTACTGATTCTGCGTTTGTCATTTGGTGGGCTTGCACTGGTGGTTGTCTGCCCATCCCCTGTCGAGCTTAGTTTAAAGCCCTGTCGAGTAGGTCAGCCTTTCTGGTCGAGAAGAGCTTCTTCCCCATTGGAGTGAGGTGGTGATTATCCCTTCCCAACAGTCCAGTGCCTCCACCTCTGAAGTATGGGCTATGGTCAAAGAAGCTGAAGCCTTCAAAATGACACCAGCGCTGCAGTCTTCTATTGACTTCACCAATTCATCTGTCCCCCCTGTGCCCATGACTTATAACCAGGAGGATTGAGGAAATTACCTTGAACAAAGGCGTGCTGTGACCCTGGGAGGACAGATGCAGGGAGACTCCTGCTTAGCTTGCTCCTGCAGCCATATGGTTGAGGGCAACTGAAACTCAGGGGTATCCAAACCCCAAGCCTCCAGGCTTGGGCCTACATGTAGTATGCCTGCCAAAGGATTTGAAAGCATCTGAAGCCTCAGGTTGGGGGTGGAGGATGTTTGCTGGTAGTAGGGCCACATATGGTTCTTGAATGACTCACGGATTTGGAATTTATTTGAATGATTTGACTTGAGACATGAAAAATTTTCTTTCAAAAAAAAAGATTCAGCTGCTGGGTCTCTACTTGAACAGCAGGGAGCCAGAAACTAAGATCCCACACACCCAGTGGAGGACTCAAGGCCTGGTACCCCTGAAGGTTACTGCTGTAACATCTAAGGAGCCATTTGGCAGGTTGTATTATGGGGAGAAAACCTGTAATATTGTCTAGGGGTTACTACTTGATACCACATTGGACAAGTTGCCGTATCAATCCTTGGAGGGCTAGGGCAAAAAGAAATTCTAGTAGTAACAATTAAACTGTTCTCAAAAATTATTGTAGCTGTGATGATGAAGCACGGTTACATTGGGGAATTTGTGGTCATTGATCACAGAGCTGGGAAAAATAATTGTCAGTCTCATAGGCAGAGTTAACAAGTGTGGTGTGATCAGGCCCAGATTTGACGTTCAACTGAAGGAAAAATGGTAAAATAAACTGCTGTTCTCAAGTTGGTCTGGGTGCATAGTGCTGACAACCTCAGCCGGCATCACAGACCATGAGGAAGCTAGGCAAAAACACACTGGAGACAAAATTCTGCCTTTTCTGTTTGCAGAGGGGCAGCATCACTTCAGAGCAAAATCATGTCTGGTCTTGTCAAGAAGGGAGGCAAGGACCAGGCTAAGGCTAAATCTAATTCTTCCCAGGCAGGGCTGCATTTCCCTGTAGCCTGGGTGCACCATCTACTTCACAAGGGCAATTGCATTAAGCAAGTGGGAGCTGGGGCATCAGTCTATTTGGCTGCAGTGATGGAATTTCTGACAGCTGAAATCTTGGAATTGCCTGGGAACACTGCCCACAACAAGAAGAAAACTTGCATCGTTCCAGTCTGCAATGATGAGGAGCTGAACAAGCTGCTGTGGGGAGTCACTGTCGCTCAGGGCAGGGTGCTGCCTAACATCCAGGCAGTGCTCCTGCCTAAGAAAACTGAGAGCCACAAAGCCAAGGGCAAGTGGAATCTGCAGATTTAGACCCAGAATCAGCAATATTCGTAACATAAAACCTCGCTGTCCGATGCTCTCTGCTGCCGCCACTACCGTGGCAGCATCTTGCCACTCTTCCAGCCCTGCACACTGGCCCTGGAGCACCTGGGAGCCTGCTTGATGTGCATGGGGTTGGGTGGCTGGTCAGACCTGAGGAGGTGGTTTGTGTGCCCAGCAGCTTATCTAGCATCTCCCCCATCTCCTATATCTGCTCCCTCAGAAAATGTTGCTAGACAAACCCTGCTCCTTCCATGTTCCCTGAGCCATCGCTGCCACAACAATACCACCACTACACACTGCCCATGAAAAGCTGAAGGGGTCTGCCATCCTGCCCATAGCCACAAGTCTCCTTTAGTGCTGGGGCAGAAGCAACATCATGACAGAAATCCTCAAGGGCCCTCTTCCCCCATGCATTTCCCACAACATCACTCTCTCTGCTTTGGTGTGTCAGGCCTCTTAAGGTTTCCCCATTTCCCCTCCACATAAATTCCTGTCAGTATGAATGTAGCAGGATCCTGGTACAGGTTCCACTTCACAGCTTGGAAGTTGGGGCTGCCCTCTGGCAGTAGTTTATGAGCCTCTCTCTAAGGAGGGGTTTCTTCTCCCTTGATGCTCAGAGCTTAGCAAGTGGAGGCAGCAGGCCTCAGGAGAGAAGGAGAATCCAAAGTACATGAGCCCAATCTCTAACTTCCTTGGTAATTGTTGCAAATAGCTCTGAAGTCAGCAGAGGGCAACCTTGATCTTCTCTCAATCTAATCAAAGAATTGGGTGGTCAGAATTGAACAGAGTATTACCAATATAAATCAAATGAGTCAGGAAAAGAATCATGTCTACAAAGTTTGCAGGGCACCTTTGATGCTTCCCCCCATGCTGTCTTAAACTCAGAACCCAAACCTATCTAGGAAAAAAAACAATGTTTCATCTTCAAAGCCAGTGAGCTCAGACCCTCCCAACAAAAGCCTTCTGCTGAACATGACATTGTTGCCACCTCCACTGCCAACAGTCACTACCAACTTGAGCCAGACATAGCTCAGAGTTTGCTCTCTGTTGCAGCTCACCTTACCAAGGATGACAGATCTATGTCTCAATTGTGTTGCTGGCTGCCTTTCCAAAGGAACATTTGAGAGTGTGGCATATTTCACGAGCATCCAAGATGCTAAAACAGCCACTTCTTAAAGCCGGAGATTTGCAGCAGGCTCAAACAGTCTTCAAGATGTCAAACATTCAAAAAAACAATGAGTGGTTTGGGGAAAAGCTTTTGAAAATAATCTACAATCCCTGAATTATACGCAGCAGTAGCCTGAGGCCCTCTAAAAGAACAGCCCTAGTGTCCTCAGTATAAATATTCTAATATAATAAAGAGCTTAGTCTGTCTGTCTATCCGTAATGTTTTGTTCAAGTGCTCATGCACTGCTGAGATAGGGTTACCTTAGGTCTGTGTTTCCCCAGATGTGTCCCTGCTCATTTTAAGACCTCTGATCACTGTCCAGGTGGGTTTCTTTAAATCTGCCCAAATGTCCAGGATTTCCCTTTGCTCTGCTGGTGGGAGCAGGGGGAGGGTGATCAAAGGCAGCGGGGAGCACAAATGGACCTGCCTGCAGCTATGGAGGCGGCAGACCCATGTGGTGCTCCTGCTTCCTCCAATTGCTTCCCCTGCTCCCATCCCCGAAGCACAGCAAAATCTTGGCCATTTGATCAGGGCAGAGGGTGCAGAGGCTGCAGCTGTGACAGGACAGGAGAGAGGGAAGGGTTGCCTGTTGTCCAGCAAAGGAAAGGGGCAGGGGGGATCCTGGAGGGCAGCGGGGAGCTCTCTGGCCAGGCAAGCCTCCCTTTCTCTTCCCTCAGCCTGTGCTGGGGCTGGACACACTTCGCCACTTGCATGAATTGGAGCCATCACACTCCAGGCCAGGCAGGATGGGGACAGCTGGGGCCCCTCTGGCAGGGCTGGGGGAGAGGGGGCTGTGGGGCTGGAATGAGGGGCACTGGGGTGGGGGACTGGGCGTTGGGAGTGCAGGGGGCACTGGCAGCGCCAGGAGGCTGCAGGTCATGAGTGAGGGGCACCAGCAGGGATGGCGTGGGGGCTGCAGGTCAGGAGTGAGGGGCTTCATCATGGCCCAGGGGGTAGGGTACTGCAG